GTTTAGAAATCGTGATATGCCTATACTACTGAAGTAAACGAATTATTTTAAAATATAGTGTTTATGTTTGGTGTAGCAATTGAGTATAGTATTATTAAATAACGAAAAAATTACGATGGGCTGTTTTAGTTCCAACTTTTTCATAATTTTTTACAGATCTATAATATTTTTAATTATTAAGAAACTAAAAAATTAAAAAATAGTATCATATCGCGCACGAATTTAATTTTTCCAGGATTATTCATATCATGTGTCAGTAGTAATCATTATTGACAGCTTGTTTTATACCGTTATTGAAAATGTCATTGCATTGAGTATAAGTATATTGTTTTTAAAATATTATTTAATTTGTGTAATTTTACATGTGTTCGAATATATCTCAAAGCATTTTTTCTATTCCGTTTAAAACATCGGTTTTAAATGCCACAACGGCTTTTCTTCTGCCTACGAAAATCGGAATTTATAGGATGCGAAACGAATACTATATGACGAAGATTTCTTTAATTTGATCTTTCAAGTACCTAAAAAGTCATACATATAAACTCATAGTTTAGAGTTTGAGCGTATATCGTTATGATTTTTCTCATTTAACTAATTACTCATGTGAAATAAATTATGGTGTACCACGCAGAATTGATCGTTTTACGTACCTCATTAGAAAATGACTTTATTCGAATTCATTCGTGTGCGAACTACTTTTCTGGATTTGGTTCATTATGAACACCCATATAGTCGGCTAGGGTTTTAAGTTACATATGCATTAAATCCATAATTTGTAAGCTGTCAAAATTTCATGAATATCTTTCAATGCACCGCAAATGTAAACTTTCTTGAGGACTACTTTTTATCATTCGACAGGAGCATAATTTTTAGCTTTTTTAAATTATGTGTGACTCCAAAGAACAATTGTAATATTTGTCGTATTTTATGTTATTGGAACTTATACCAAAAGTTTCCTCAATCTCGCAGTATGTCACATGACGATCTTGAATTATGAGTTTTTGAACAGAAAAAACGGCCGATGGTACAGCAACTCCCGTCAACTTCAACCGACTTCCGTAACGAATTTTGTTATACCAGACTTTCATAGTTTGAAAGGCTGGAGCTTCAACATAATGGAATATCGTAGAAATCATGATTTACGCATTAATATGCGTCGTAAGGTACTATGTATGTATGTATGTATATTTATTTTCATTTTAAATTTCATTTTTACAATATGATGTATCTTAAATTAATATATAAATAAATATAAAAATAAATATAATTAAAATAGCGACTGTGACACGAGGTACTATAAAATTAAAAATAAATAAATAATTGAATTGTTATTAAAGTTTAATTCATATATTCATATATTTCATTTATTTTAATTCATTTAATTAAAAACGAACAAAATTTATACCTTTATATGTTCCCTTTTTGTTTCTATCGCTGAAGTCATTCTGTACAAAACTTAATTTGAAATGCTATAAATATTACATTTAATCATTTAAAAAAATTATATTTGTTTCTTTTTCTGCCTTTTATTGTTTTGAATAAATCTAAGACTTGAAATTATTTTATTTGCATTTAATAGTAACATATATAAGCTAAAGTATTTTTTTGGGTAAAAACTAAATTGTTCTTGTTTTTTCTTTGCCTTCATTTCAAATTAGTACACTAGACGTTGAACTCATAGATATCCTTATAGCAATACCTTGTAATAACCGAACTGAATATGTAATTTGCACATTACACGTGTACTTTATTTCAAAATTTTGCAGTAAAACCTCCAAATTACACATAATCAAAGAAATTATACAACTTGAGGGTAGTGTAGAGCGTATTGAGGGTAGGAAACTACTGCAAAATGTACAATTTTATTCAACGTATCGTAGTTTGTCACGAAAAGTACCTCATAATTTGTATATTTAATCTAAAGTAGACGTGAGAAACTGCATTTTGAAGCTGAAGTGTGCTTCTTACGGAAATTTCGAGGGTTGCTTTTATTAACATATTTTATTATAATGAAACTAAGATACTCAAGGTTCACCCAAAGTACCATTGGGATATTAAGAAAATCTTAATCGGATTAAATAAAATTAATTTTTCATTTATTACATGCAGTTGGATTCATGCTGCTTATGACAAGTTTGTATAGAAAAATAAATATAAAACTAAAAATAAATTCAAATGAAAATCTTATGAATATTTTATTGAAATTTTTAGTTGACGTTGTGGTAACATTTGCAGAAGCTTACATTTCGATGCAGTTCCTACCACACACTCAACGCATGACTGCTGTTTGAGATTTGTGGGTAAACGCACGCACTGTTATTTAAAGCCAGCATCATTAGTCAAATTCTAAGCCCTTAAAAACCTATTTTGACATATCCTCATATGGGTTTTGAATTTTGAGGGTATAAAGCGTGTAGTTAACAACTCAATTTAATACGCATAAACTGCAAACAAATGAATTATCGATTTAAGATTTTTAGTTGTTGTTGTAGTGTATGAGAACAAATATATACAATATCAATATCACTGTTGGAATTATTTTAATTTTACATGTTTATATTTTTTTTTGTTCAATTATTGTTTAATGAAAAGATTTTTTGATAATTGTAAAAATACCAGAGAACCTGTCAACTACAGATACTCGTATACTCGCACACATATATTCCATTTGGTATCATTGTCAACTACCGAAAACTCTTCGTTATAACATTATCCAATAAAAAAAAACTTCAAATAGAAACAATTGGTCGCATTGTTTACTTTTGCAGTTGCTGGTAAAGAGCCACACATCAAGCTCAGTATTACGGCTTCCATGTTTTCATAAATGCAGTTAAAGCTGTTGGTGCGTTGTTGTAAATTGCAATGCACCCTTTTTGCCACCTCTTATAATGTGGAGTATCTGCAGCAATGCTTTTGAAGAATAAAAAGTATTGCATTTCACTGCAGTTAACCAGCAAAGGATCTCAATAAATTTGTGTGTGGCAACCGCATACAAGCATTCCCTCAGCTCAACCCTGCAAGTCACATCCAATGTGTTGTGTTAAGTTATCCGATTACAAAACAACATGCATATTTTTTTCATACTGGCAAGTACATATTTTATTTAGCTCCATTTTCATCTAAACTACCCGAAATACTGGTTGAGCTCTATTAGTCTTATCTCAATCAACTTTATTAGCATTAAAGGAAAGGACATCGCTCCATATGTTTAAGTAAACAACTGACACTGAGCATTTTTTTGTGGCTTATAGTGAACCAAGCAAACATGGTTGATAAATATATTGCTGATACATGTGCTCATAGTTCATTTTAGATGTGACAAATCATAAAAGATTTCTTTGTGAGTGGTACTCTTTTGTGCGCATACGTCAATTGCTGATGGTGAAATGTATCAGAAGCTAATAAATAGATACTAGTGAATTCTGTATGAGTTTAAGGTTTCAATTCATTTAGTATTGGTAACTAAAATATTGTATACAAGTCAAAATTTGGAAGAAATGTTTAATTATAAACAGTAGTATCTTGTTTCATTTTAAAAACCTAAATTTGGTAATATTTTATTTCTTTTTCAGTAATTTATTTGGTAAGATTATCCTCTACAGTGGAAACTCTCAAATGTATATGTATTTAATTCATATACATATCTTAATTAAATTGTTATACTTGTATTTAGGATGTTTAATAAAAATCCAAAAGATAGTAACTTAGTTCATCAGATAAAAATAATCATATAAGCTATTTTTATATTAACCGAAGTACAGAGTAACAAAAAATTGTATCTTGAAAAATTTTTGAGTTCATAGTTCTGTTTATTGTACTACTGTTCATAAAACTTGAATTAAAACTTTTATCAGATAATATTTGAATTGAAAAATGTAATGTGTAAACCTCTTATAAACCTCTCTTGTAATTATTTTACTATTAAAGGTAAAATACTCCGTGAAAAGAGCAGCACATAGATGTAAGATGTTCATTTGTATTAACCTAAATACATTTATCATTTTAATACAATTTAATCACTAGATGAATAGTCTAGATGAAATTAACATTAAATGCTGATCTGCGACTGTGGAAAATTCGAATTCCTCATTGAATATAAAAACGCTAAGGTAACCTCATCTGAGGTTTGCTTGAAGCGCAAGCGTGCGTGCCTACATAGTCATTCAACCGCAAACTTCACAGAAATTATGTTATATGTACCTTCTTTTTTCTTATGAAGTGTGACCTACAATAAAACGCAACATCTGATACAACAATACTAAGTTTAGATACAAATTCAAAAGCCCGTAGAAAAGTTACACACGTTGCAATTTATTGCTTGATGTACTGCTGCAATCAGTTTCGTTGCATTGAACATAACTCAAAGCATCCTTTAAATTGCTGATGATGCATAACGTTTTGCATTTTTCATTACAGTTTAATATCGTTTCACCAACCGATTATTAAAGACAAAATATATCGAACAGCAAATAATCTAGATTTGTCTGAGCTCTTGGTGTAATGATTTATAGCAAAGTGCAATATTTTTGCAGCAATTAGTTAAAAAGTTATTTTAGTACCCTATGTATTTTTGATTATTTATTGTGAAACAAAATTAATTTGAAATATGTATTTATATCATGGCTCTGGAACATGCGAACAAAACAATTTAATATCAAAACAATAAATAATTTGAAACCATAATTAATGTTCAGATGTCACAATGCGTGCTAACAACAAAATTAAATTGCAAAGCCTCGACATAATTCATTGCTGTGACATGATAACCAGCAACAATATTTTGTATGCCAAATTTGAAACCACAATTTTTAAAAATTTGTAACAAACCGTTATAACATATAACAAATAACAAATAACATTTTTGAACTATGAAATGCTCCTTAGCATATTTTCATATATTATGAAAATTTATGCAACAGCAAAAATAAGTTAGGGCAAATATAATATTTTTTCTTTGACTAATTTTTAATTGATTTTTCTATTTTTTTATAATTTTTCAGATGGAACACAACTTCAAGCGCCCCGCTTTACTACACAGCCTTCATCCTCAGGATCAATAGTGAGCGAAGGACGTAATAAAATTTTACAATGTCATGCATTAGGTAAGTTGAGCAATTGTTTTAGTATTTCTTAGCAGCTGTACTCCACCACTACTGAGCCACACTGGCTTGATATGAAAAACGATACTAATTGCCTGCACATTTTCTTAGATATCCAAGTGGAAAAGTAATAACATTTTATGAGGTTTCTTTGTTTCCCTTAATGCTCTTGGCATTTAGGTGAAACTGAATTCCTTACTCCTTTCAAACGTTGAATGGCCATTTTGTACTTCATTTAGTTTGCTATTTGGTGAATCCCCATCATATGTTTATCCATGGAATTTTTTAGCATTGCTTTTCAATAATGGAAAAAATATGAAAACTGAAATTTAATAACTTTCATTAGTAACTCGTTTCTTTACTAAAGCCTAATTAGTTCTTTTCTAACATATAACTACCAAAATTTTTAAGAATGTAAAGTATATGCTAAAGAGTTCGAAAAGAATACTTATAAAGAACATTAATTTGTATATAGGTATATACAAGAACATTTATTTTTTAATCAGTCGCTTTGAAAAAGTAGCTTTAATTTGTGCAATATACCATATATCAACGTTTTACCGGGGGTGTACCAGGTTTGTAACGCTCGTATATGCTTGTGCTCGATTATTTGACTCGATTACAACGAGTCGCTCAAATAAATTCGATTAATATGTGGTTCTAGAGCGTTAACTGTATTGTTTATTTCTATAAAACAAAACACAAGAATATAAAAATGAAGCTATTTTTTGTATTATATTTGCTATTTTCCAAATCTTTGAAGTATTCGTACACAATATTGAAATTCAATTTGAAAATAATTCAAAAAATTTATTTTTTGAATTTATTTATTAATTTATTTATTTATTTCGAAAGAAATCAAAACAATCCAGTAACTTAAAAGGAAATTGAGAAATAAAATTTTTTTGACATCAAAGAATTGTCTCAAACCTGGCAATTATACAGCGCTTCCAATCTAAAACACTACGAATGATCACAAACGCACCTTGGTATATAACGAATGAACAGCTACATAAACAATTACATGTTCGAACAATCAAGGAAGAAATAGCAAGTATTTTAAAGAATTACGCTCAACGCTTATATATGCACCCAAACCCTCTGGTTACTCAACTGATGTCCCCTTCCAATACCTTTACAAGGCTGAGAAGAAAAACATCGCGAGACATTTTAAATATGTATATGTAGACAATACACTTTTATTTTAAATATATATGGATATGTCACTGGGCATAGTCCATACGTGCCTTTCTTTTTATATCGTAATAACCATTATTACGATTTAAATTTATATATATTACTTATTGTCAGTCATTCCTGACAGATTGTAATAAATAAATGGATTTCAAAAAAAAAAAAAGAATTGTCTGTTCTTAAAAAGTTAACAAAATTTACTTTCATATATAAATAAATTTATCAGTCAATTTATTTTATGGTTTCAGAATATTTAGAATACAAGAAACTGGCCTATAATAACGCATCTCAACTTCCTAGTAAAAGTATCTCGATTTTTGCCAGATAGAGAAAAATGTATATGGTCAAGAAAAAGCTTATCAGTTTTAGCAATTTTTCCTGTTTTTGTTTCAACGATTTTAACCACAGCTTTTTGCAAATGATTTAAAACACTATAACACTATATATAGCACAAATATCAGATTTTTTGCATTTCTTCCTTTTTCCATTGTTTCACAGTTCACTAAAGGCCTCGATCTGTTGAACAATCTTTCGTTTTTAATTTCAATTTATTCTTGCCGTTCACCAATAACAGATATGTACCTGATGCAATCTAAAGTAATTTTTAACTTCCACAATTCATCGCATTCCGAGAATTTAACTTTCGAATATCTTCTGTTATATTCTTTCAGTATATGAACTAAAAATGTGATTCAACCATCGTAATTTTTCCTTTTTTCATATAACGCATTAATGTATGAAGAGTTTTCAATGAGTTTGCCTAGCTTTCTTTTTTCATATAACGCATATAACTGTATGCACTTTGCACAAGTACATACTACAAAATTAATTTTAAAATCAAATTCAAATTGAATCCAAAAATTGAAACCAAAAATTTAAGCCTAAAGAAATCAGATGAAACTCCAAGCCTCTAAGTTGCATTGGCTCATTAATAACAAATCCTCCCTGTGCCTAGAGTATAAAGTACTCTTGTATAACAGCATCATAAAACCAATATGGACTTATGGTGTCCAGCTATTTGGCAATGCTAGTCACTGGTGCCCCATGATATATTAGGAATAAAAGTATCCACCGAGATCTATAAATTTCCTTAGTTGAAGCTGAATTTAACAATATGAGAAAAAAATACAATAAAAGACTGACAGAACATGTTAACCCCTTAGAAAGGAATCTCGCACTTCTATCCATTAGTTCCCGCCTAAAAAGAGCTGACTCAAATGAAATTGAACCTTTTGATCCAAGTGAGGTTCGTGATATAAGGTTTACTTGTTTTATTTTATTTTATACAATGTATAGTTAAAATAAAGTTTATAACATTATGTAATAATATTATTAGTGATAAGATTTTAAAACTTATTGTTAGTCTCATTGTAAGAGAAGATACAATAGTAAATGTCTAAGTATTTGAAAAAAAAAATCCAATTCAATCTGTCAATCTACAATTCTTGCAAACGAATTTAAATATTGAAAATGCAAAAAAAAAATGAAGGAATGAAGTTAAATTTTTTTAGGCGAATTATTGAAATATAGAGGCTTTTCTGCGCTATCTGGATTATAGATATTTTAATATAGAGTATGTCACGACATTACGATGTCTGGATTATTATGATGTCCATATACGGATTACCGGAAGTGTACTAGTTTTCTCATTCTAATTATTATGGATAATATGTTTTACCACAATCATGAAATCATCAAATTAGCCCAGTTAACTCTACCAATGAGGGAATTAAAAGAAAAGATTAGAGTAGCAACAAAAATTAGATGCATAACAAAGAAAAGTTTTATTTATTTTAAAAGTTTTATATAATATATATGTTTTTATTTCATTCATATTACTATTCAGTATTACTAACCTATATACAAACAGAAATGCAATACAAATTCAATTAGATTTACTTAGAGTAATCATCTAAGTAAACTCAGATGACTTAGCTAAGTAACCAGAGACATAATTTCTTTTTGTTTATAAACGTATTTAGAATAAATAAGATAAATAATCTAGATAAAGAGGTTTTCGAACAGAAGTGAAACAACAACAAAAATTTATTTTTTTTTAAATTATTTTAATTAATTGAATTTTTGGCTGACCATACAGCTGTTTCGAGTATTGCCAAATACCCTTCATCAGTGGTCTTGGAAATAATTCTTGTATTTAATTATTTGTAAATAATTATTTTTGAGACTGCAAGTACCAGGAATCGAACTCGGGTCCTGCCACATGTGAAGCTCAGATAATCTAGGTAATAGCAGATGAATCATTTGAGTAGTTATTGACTAAACGTTAAGTTTTATCAAGTCGATTTTCGAGTTATAAAATAAAAGTTTCCGAGTCTTTTTGAAAAGATTCGATACGAATTTGTAAGATTATTTGTTTGAGTTTTAAATAAATCACTCTATTAAGATAAGCCAATGTATTAACTAATAAAATATATGAACTAATTAATTAATATAAATTAATTAATTTAATTAATTTATTTATTTTTACAGTTATGATAACCTGATCAGTTTAATTTATATGAATTGAATTCCCTGCTTGTTTCATAAAAGAAACGTTCTATATATAAAGTAATAAAGTAATAATTATAAAGTAATATTAAAGCAACGAAACTATTTCTGCACAAGTACAATCAATGATGTATTCAGGCCTTAGTGTGAGAACAAATACTTCAAATGAATGCGAAATTTCAGATGCTTCACATGAGCAGAAAAAAATATTTAAATAAAGAAATGAATCAGTTGTTCTGTTCGTATCGTGAAGCTAAACGATATATATATATTTGCGGGTATAACATATTTTTATTTATTTACATTTTTACATTACACAATCGAGTTTCTCTGAAAGCTTTGAAATCTTCTAAGCGAAATGCAAGCAAATAACAAAAGAACCCAAATAATGCCAAAAAGTAAGCTAACAAAGGCGACAAGAAAGCTGAAAAGTACAGTGAAATGCAAAAATGGAACCAAGAGAAGTGAACAAGACGTGAGCACATTTTCTTTTATATTCTCGAAGAAAGTAGAAATAAGATACTTTTTAAAACTAACTGTAAATTTTAAAATTTAATTTTAGCGAAATTTTGGACTTTAACTTAATTTTAGTATAATGAAATAAAGAGCACAGTTGCCCATTTAGTTCTAGCTTTGGTGTTAGTCATTGCGTTATCCTTTTTGTATGGTCCTTTTTTTTGTGTTATTCTGAAGAAGATGTTTTAATATGCAGAAAGAAGAGTAAACTTTTTAAGTGAATGCAAAAACATACAATCTTACCAGCGTACATAATTATACATATTTATATATTTTTATATTAGCTTATCTGTATATGTATTTATGTATTGTAGAAGTTTTAAATCTATAAAACTTCATTTTATATGACACTTGCTTCTTTAGGCAATATATGAGTACCAAGGACTTAAACCGATGTCATTTCTATGATATTCAAATATTTACAATTGTGCAAAAATTTAGTAAATGAATTTCCTTTCAGGTAATAATTGAACAAATAAACAAAAACTATAAAAGTAAATATCTTTCCTTATTTATATACAAAACTGTAGTGATATTACAATAGAAAAATTGTGCACTTGGTGTCTTTTATTTTTTTAGGTAAGAAATTTTTATGTTTTATCTTAATTTTATTTTAAGAAGTGCATATATATTCTTTTTTATAAAAATGAACATCTTTATGCAGCATTTATTTCATTCGCATTTCACTTTTTTACTTCATTAAATAAATTTTATATTTCCATGAAATCATCCAAAATAAAATTTTAAATCCTTGAGGGAAATGGTGCGTATGATTGACTTTTTAA